GCTTAACTTTTCATAATCTTATATATTACAAATTATAAGAAATCTACTGTGCCAAATTTTTTATTGGTTCTGCAACTGGCATAACTGGCATAATAAAATTAAATGAAAATGATTCAATACAATCATTCAATATAACTAATTTTTATCCAATTGATCCTTCAACATCATGTTATATCCCAAAACTAACAAATACTAGCCAAGTTCTATTAGTAAATAATTGTAAATTTTCGTTGGGAAATAACAATGAAATTGATGTAAATATTTTTTTATTATTTTTTAATTTACTTTTTATTTTTATTTATTTTTATTTTATTTTCTTTCATCTTCATTTATGATTTTATTATCATTATATTATATTTTAATTAAACAAATAACAATTGCACATTAAATTATTGACATTATAACAAGGTTGTCCAAAGACGGAGTTTCTGGTATTAGACGTATTTCTAGTTAGTAAATAAAATTAACAATTTAATAATTTAACAATTTATTATGTTTATTTCTTTTAATATCTTTAATTATAAATTCAATTTGGATAATCTTCTTTCAATATATTTTAATTACAATTTTAAACTTGGATAGTCTTTCTTAAGTGTATTTTATTTTTTTTTAAATTCATTATTTAATTATTATCATTTTTTACAATAAAATTACAATAATAACTCTTTATTAACAATTAAATAATTATCAATAATTTCTGTTTAATATTTTAAGCAAAAGCTTTTAAATCTAAATCCAAAACTCATTCTTTTTATAATAATTTGATATTTTACTAAATATTCTATAATCTCTCAATTCTTTAATTTTTCAATTATATTATAATGATATAATCTTTCTATCTACTTCTATCTATTTTTATAACTAATAAACTATTTATAACTTAATTATAAATAAACCAATCTAAATATAAATAACTATAAAAAAAATGTGGATTCTGTGATCACCTGATATTAAAGATAGGGTCACAAGGCTAAAATGATTTGTTATAAATATAGTCTACCTACAAAGTTAAATGATTATTTAATAATGCATACATGAGATACTTTATGTATGATAAGTGGTTTGTAGTTTAATAATATTAGAGTAGTTTATAGAATTATACTTTGTATACAATTTCTTTTATTTTTACTTTAATAAACTGCAAATATACTGTGACAAAAAAAAATAATAATTATAAATAAATATAAATAATCTATAAATAAATATAACTATAACTAAATTTTTATATAACTATCAAATATTATATCTTTAAATTATCTCAAATAAATATTCTTCCCTTAGATAAATACTGATTTAACTGATCATATAATTTTTGAATATTTGCAGCTATATTATCTATAAAAATATTTTTTGAATTTTTAAAATTTTTGACTGAAATATTATTCTAATTATAATTAAATAATATTATTATATGTAAATTTATGAGTAAACCAAGTTTCTCTTAGATTATAAAGGTTGTTATTCAGATAGTTTTTGAGAAAAACAGGAAAGTTTGATTTTATAAGTATAATACAATTTTATTGGTTTAAAAAGATTTTTTTTAGTCAATTTTCAAATTTTAATGTGATTAGTATCTACTCAGGTTTGTTTTATACATTTATTATTTAAATTGAAATTTTGAAAAAAAATTATGATGTATTTTTTAACTCTGGCCAAAATTATAATTTTCGGCCAGAATTAAGTGGTGTGGTGATGATCACCACTAGCAACACCCAATTTTTAAAATTTTTTCTTGTACTTGTTATTTTTTTAAAAACATTTAATTTTATTTGCTTTAAAATTTTTAATAAATGCAAAATATACAATGTAATATGTACTTTTTAATTAAATAACTAGTGATCATAGAAAAATATAACACAGCTTTTCGTCAAGACAAATCAAATGGATTACTGAACAATGTTAAATGATTAGTTATTAATACATTACAGTCAGAACTTAATATAATGATTATGTGATACAATGAATTTATGATAAAGTAATTTTTTATGATTTTATCTTAAACTTATAAATTTTAATATACAATTTTTTCATTGATGGAGAGTTCATTATTATTGAGTTCTAACTATAGTACTAATATCCCAATTTTTGTTTGCAATGTATTACATGTATAAAAATTTATTTGATTCTGTTAAGCCACAAATTGAAGAAATTGTATTTCTTTAATTTTATTTTAAAAACTAGGAAACAGAAACCATCGCGCTTATTAAAAAAAATCGGTTACAAAAATAGCATAATATAAAAATACGTAACACCAAATAAAATACAAAATCATCAGTGAAACAAGTAAAAAAGTGATTTACATAAATACTAAAGAAAGGAAAAAGCAGGGGTATTTAGTGAGGTGACGTCAGCGGATGGACAGAAGGAAAATTTCATGAGTTAATCCAAATTTTTGGTTCGTTATAAGTGCTCTACAATAGAAAGTCCTTCGCTACGCTCCGGACAAACAACTCTGTTTTCTATAGAATTGGAAATTTGGAATTCAAAAGGTATTTATACAGAATAAATCTTATATGACTAATTGACTATTAATATTCTTAATTATATTATGTGAATATTTACATTTATTACATTTTTTTCTCTATAATTTCTACTGCCAGTCAAAACTTGATATAACGAACCCTCCATTCAGGCAATTTTGAGATAAAACAAATATTTTATTATATCTGATTTATATATTAAAAGGTATAAAAATTTGGTATATCTAAAATATACTTATAATATTATAATATCAATACAATGTAAACTTTTAAATAAATGCACGACTCATAGATATCAGGTGATCTGCTGCGCTGAATTGTGTTGGCCGAAACTAAGTTAATTCCAATACTGATCTATGGTTAACGGTTATATGTGATGTCATGAAATTTATAATAAAGTCAGTATAATTTCACGTGAAGTTAAATATACTTATGCCTTATGGAATACATATGTATATTATTTTTAATAGAATTTAATTATTTTCTTAACTAAAATAACTTATTTAAAATCGAATATTTGCAGAAAATGATGACCCGCTACTTATTCCACGGTGATCGATTTGTTTAGCTATAGAAATACCTTTGGATCTAAAAACAAAGAAACTGATCAAATTTATAAAGCTACTTTCAAATTACTTAGACGATTGAAATGCATGCCGATTGTAAATTTAAAAACATTAAGTGCAAAAAGAATTTTTTTTTAAAATAAAAATGAACAAAAAATATAGAAATTTAAAAATTAATTATGTTAACCGTTGTCTACTGAAATTCATTATTCAGCCATCAATTGATTCACTATTAATATAAATAATTCGAGCCTTAAATTAATAAATGCTGATTGCTGAATGAAAGAATTCAAACTGAAATAATTCTTATTATGAAACAACTGAGTTTTTAAAACAGAGGCATAGTTACGTCAAAATATTTAATTGCTAATCCGTATATATTAATTGAAACCCATTTTTACTTAATAATCACAATTCATAATATTCAGAATATAATTAGGGCGGCACAGTATATTATAAAGTGATTTTTTGTGGTTATTTATAAAAAATTGAAATTTCCAAGAAAAATAATCCGAAAAAAAAATTTTGCAAAGTTTTTGCTGTTTTGATATTATTAGAACATAAATAAAAAAATTTTCTACATTTTTTAATTAATCTTTTTAAAGAATATACTGTATGTATGGAAAATTTAAGACTTCTAGCTGATATTTTTATGAGACAAAAAAAAGTGGCATAAATTTATGAAGAAATATTGCCAAAATTTATCTAATTTGCAATATTTAAGTATTCGCTCAAAATTTTCAAACTTTGTAATATTTGATGTCTAATACTTGTATCAAAAAATCTAATCCCATAGTTTTTTTGGCAAAATTTAGTGATTTCGTTAAAAATTGGTAGACTTATGACTTATCAATAAGGGGAAAAAAGATTTCATATGTTTTTACAAATTTTTTACGTAAAATTTTAAATTTATAAAAAATATTTTAACTATATGGACAAAAAAGATCAAAGAATTTTCAGTAAAAATTTCATTACAAGACCAATATGCGGATCGGCAAGTTTAATAAGGCATAGTTATGAATTAGATCACCATAAAAATGTGTCTCGATTTTCTAAAATTCACATGTGCAACAACTATCATCTATAATAGGCTAGGTTAGGAAATGTATTCATTTCCCTCTGAATTAATGAGTCACCCGAACAAATCACAGAAGGCCATCTTGTAGGGCTGGTTACTCAAGAGTCAATTATCTTTATAGGTAAATAAATAAAGCTAAATTCGGAAATAAAAAAAAAAAGAATAAATGAATACTAATTAGGAAATATAACAAAGAATAATGTTGTGAAACTTCTCAAATTAATGTGATTATATCGAATCAATGAATAATAATCCACCAATATTTTAACCGAAGTACAACCTAATTTACTAATGTTACACAGCTTGCATATATAAAGATACGAAGGATACGGTAAATTCTTTAAAATGTTACTACCTGGCTGTTTTTTAATTTTGTAAAGCTTATAGTTTTAAAAATCTCTAACGTATCTATTAAGAGCAACGCTCGTTAAAAAAAAGGTATGTCAGATCAAAATCAACAGACCATCGAGCTAGTAGACGACTTACTTACGCGAATAGCTAATAAAGACAAAGAAATTGAATTACTTCGGAAACAAAATAAAAAGTTAAATGATGAAAACAGTAAATGGCAGAATTACGTTGGTAAAGCAACAACTTTTTCTTTAAATGATAATGATACAAATCACAGCACCCATTTTGCTAAAGATATTGAGAAAGTACAAAAGATGATTGTAGATTACATCGGAAATCTGAGACCCAAAGTAAACGTAAATTTTGAAGAAGTAAACAAATTATTGCGACTTTATGGATGTTCTGCACAAGTACAATCTAAAGAAAAATTATCACCAGCAAAAGCTGTTTTACAACGTCATGTGTTTGAAGAAGTCATTAAAAGTGCAAATAAATATTTTTTAAAATATGATGGTCCATTATTAAAAAGCAATATTGATAAACAGATTGATGACAGTCAAAGCAAAAAAATCAATGACAGCAAAAGCATTATTGATAAACAAACCAATGACAATCAAAGCAAACAAACTGATGACAGCCAACGCAATATTGAAAAGCAAACCAATAATAGCCAAAACAAAAATGCTGATGCCAGCAAAAGCAATATTGATAAACAAATCAATAACAGTCAAAGCAAAAATACTGATGCCAGCCAAAGCAATATTGATAAACAAATAGATGACAATCAAAGCAATATTGATAGACAACCTGACAACAGCCAAATCAATACTAATAAACAGCAAATCAATGGCAATCAAAGCAAAATTAATAGACAACCTGATAATAGCCAAAACAAAAATACTGATGCCAGTCAAAGTAATATTGATAAACAAACAGATGACAATCCAAGCAATATTGATAGACAACCTGATAATAGCCAAAGCAAACAAATTGATGACAGCCAAAGCAAGAAAACTGATGCTGGTCAAAGCAATATTGATAAACAAACAGATGATAATCAAAGCAATATTGTTAAACCTGATAACAGCCAAATCAATACTAATAAACAACAAACAGATGACAATCAAAGCAATATTGATAAACAACCTGATGACAGCCAAATTAATATTGATAAACAACAAAACAATAGAAATCAAAACAATATTGATAGACAACCTGATAACAGCCAAAACAAAAATACTGATGCTAGCCAAAGCAGTATTAATAAACAAACAGATGACAATCAAAGCAATATTGATAAACAATCTGATAATAGTCAAAACAAAAATACATCTGATGCCAGCCAAAGTAATATTGATAAACAAACAGATAATAATCATAGCAATATTAATAGACAATCTGATAACAGCCAAACCAATACTGATAAACAACAAATCAATGGCAATCAAAGCAATATTAATAGACAATTTGATAATAGCCAAAGCAAAAATACTGATGCCAGCAAAAGTAATACTGATAAACAACAAAGCAATGGAAATCAAAGCAATATTGATAAACAACCTGATAACAGCCAAATCAATACCTGTCTCTTATACACATCTAGATGTGTATAAGAGACAGAATCAATACTGATAAACAACAAATCAATAACAATCAAAACAATATTAATAGACAACCTGATAATAGACAACCTGATAATAGACAACCTGATAATAGACAACCTAATAATAGCCAAAGCAAAAATACTGATGCCAGCAAAAGTAATATTGATAAACAAACAGATGATAATCAAAGCAATATTGATAAACAATCTGATAATGGCCAAAGCAAACAAATTGATAACAGCCAAAGCAAAAAAACTGATGCTGGTCAAAGCAATATTGATAAACAAACCAATGACAGCAAAAGCAATAGTAATAAACAAACAGATGACTTAGAAAGCAGTATTTATAAACAAACTAATGATCTTCTTAAATTAATAAGGGTATTTTCAACAGAACGTGATGGAACCAATGGTATAATTTCAGCTGGGCCTATTAAAGTGCGTCAGCAAATGTATGGACTTCTAGGCAGTCTTGGATTTGCGAATATTATTAAAGATGGACATAAAGAACATCCTGTTATATTAAGTATAAAAAATAAGTTAAATGAATCAATTAATAAGTTTCGCACAATTACAGATCCAAAAAAAAGTAAAAAACATGATGATATGGCAACTAATCTAGTACGGGAATTAATTAGAATATGCTTTTTTCGCTTAAAAGTTCAGGAACCAGCTGTTGAATATAAATGGTTTCCATATAACCATAAAATAGATCCAAATTTGATGGAAGGAAGAGATGATATAGATGAAGATAACAATTCATTAGTTGAATTGTGTTCCTTTCCTCTATTTGTTTCAAATTATGGTAAACAAGGACAAAAAGTCTATTCACGTGCATACATTGTCTGTCAAGTTAATGGTACTGAGTAATCATGGCGATAATAGCAATCAAGGGCCACATGTTAATCGAGATGGTGGAAATTCAGGTAACAACTAACAAGATAATTTGGGTGGTAGGGTGATAGCCTAGCCAAGGAGGAAATCAATAGATTCTGAAAATAGTCGAAATTTATCCTTTTTTTTTTTTATTTAAATATATATATAATAAACGAGTAAATTTATTGGTGAGACTCGCCTTCCTAAATTAATTTTGATTGGTTAATCCTTGATTGGCTAATTATTTTACTTTGAAATTTTTCGTTTAAAAAATTCTGTCGGCAAACAACACATTTTTTAAAGCACTTCATTTTATATTATAGAAATATCGAAATTTATTTGATAAATATATGGTTATAAAAATCATTTATTGTATGTTATTACTAATTGAATAGAAAAACTTTGTTCGATTATTTATTTTTAATAGGACTAGTAATAATGATACAAAATAAAAAGTGAAGCCTGTCAATGTCAAGATTATAATGAAATAATTAATGAAAAAAATTGAAGGATGAAATCCCAAAGGAAAGAACAAAAAGAGACTGTTAAAGAACAAAAATGACAATACTCAAAGAAAACGAAGAAAATGATGAAACCCATAAAATAAGAATGAATAAAGTTAGTAAGGAATGATAAAAAAATAAAAAAAGACAAAAAGAAAATGTACCTTTAATTGAGTTTTATTCTCTCAAAGTATAAAATTAAAAAGAAAAATAAAAAAAAATGTCAAATAACGAAAAAAAAATATACAAAAGAAAAATATACAACGAAGATTGAAAAGAGAAAAACGAAAGAAAAAAAGAGAACGAAGAAAAAAGGGTGACTAAAAAAGGGGGAAGAGAATCGAAACAATAAACGAACGAGTCGAACGAGGATAATTTTGAATTTAATCAGCCAATCAAAAAATGGTAAGTTCGTCACGTGATGAGGTGAATCAAAATTATGCTTTTAATTATCTAAGTCAAACTTGAAAATAGCTTTATAACTTTGACCAGTAAGTTCATTTTTTGAAGTAGCAGTAATTTCCATATTTCCAAAAGTTATTCCAAATAACACAGGTCTATCGAGACCTGAACCAGGAAGATCAATATGAAGTTTTCCTAAAAGCTCCATGCCAGGATCATCGCAATATTCTGCTTCATACTCTTTAGTATAGTATAAACAATGAATCATTTCATTTTGCTCGGAATGAATCGGTACACGAGACCTTTTAATTTCCTGATTAATATTTATTTTAGTGCCACGTCTAACTAAACATTGAAATTTTTCAATAAATCCATCTTGAGTTTTTCTATGTACAGGATCTTCCCTTTCCTAAACAAATATAAAGTTTTTTTAAAAAGTAGTTGAAATAAATATTGTAAATGAAAATAGAACTTGCCCATTTAGTCGCGGTTTTAATTCCATACGTATATTTAAGAACTCTTGAAGAAATAACGCATTTCATATTTTCATTATTTCCTACAGTATTCAAATCATTTAATCTTATAGATAATCCGTAAATTACTGCTCCACGTGAAATTGCTGCCATAGGTTGAATAGGTACTGAAATATCATTTATTCGAGGACTAAATTCTTGTTTAATTCTTTTTTGTAAATATTTTGATTCACTGAAACCTCCAACTAAAAACATTGCAGAACAAGTTTCTTGAGCATTATCTAGTTGAACTTTTATCAGCTTGAGAATTTTTCGGACAACAGGCTCGAATATCGATTTCATAGTTTCAAAATCAATTTCGATTACCCATTCATTTTTTTCTAAAGTTTCTCTGATATCATCATCAACAATATATTGCTGTTCTAAGATCGGAATCGTATCTCGAATATCCAACTCATATAAAAAATCCGGATCATCTCCTGTAAAAGAAATTTTACCATATTTACAAAACTGTTGTATCAAATATTGCATTTGATCATAGTTATTATCTCTAAGCAAGTCCATAGGTTCATCTCCAAGTGTCTTTCGTAAATATTTAACAAATTCATCATCGATAAAAGTACTTCCACAACAATCGCCTGCTCTTTCAGTTATTTCGCTCAATTGTTCGTTGTTTATAAATTTATGAGTTGTTAAGTCTACTGTACCACCACCACAGTCAACTATCATAAAATTAGCTTTTGTAAAAATTATATGTAAATTAATAAATTATAATGTTATAATGTTTATAATCAAAATTAAAAAAAGAACAACATACTTCCTGGTTGTGCAAAATTCTGTTTTTCAAGGTTTTTCATGCAATATACAGCAGCTGCTTCAGCTAAAAAAAAAAAATCCTAATTTAGAAATCCAAGAATATTATAGAAATTTTGAATATTCTTACGTTCTGTAGTAAATTGCAAATTTGTTGAGCATGCTTCTTTAATTAATTCTGCATCAAATGCACATATTCTCATGATCGCTTTTGACTTTTCGGAAAATTCTGCAGGAACGGTGAGAATCAGAAGGACATTCTCGAAATATTCGATCTTTGGCCATCGTATCCCGACAGTTTCTTTAATTACCTTGAAAATTCATTTACATATATATGCAATAATATAATAAAAAAATTAAACTTAAAAAATCGATTTTTTGAAACATCGACAACCATGAAAAAAATTTTTTTTTTTATTTTAAATATACCTTGCTGATTTCCCTAAGATAGTCGGTAATAGCTTTTTTATATTCAACTGGAAGATTTGGTTTTAATTTGTCCGATAAATCTTCCAAATATAATTTGAACAATTCAACAGGTCTATTTCTTTCATTGTTTTGTCCTCTGTTTCGACGATTGGGCTTTTTGGCCATAGCTGGGGCACCCCATAATTTTACATTGTATGTATCATCATACTGAAGAACTGTATTGGTTTTTAATTGACCTACTTCCCCGTGCCAATTATCATTAGAACAAACATTTCTTTCATTGCAAACATGACAATATGCAAATCCAGAGTAAGTTGTTCCAAAATCTAATCCAACCACAACGCGAATATTATTTTCTAGAAAATTAGTATCTTCCATATTGGTTTGGAATAAATTTGACTCAAGAATTTTCTTTTAAGGGGATACAATGGTCATCATATATAGCGGGCTATAGGAGTACAATGTTTATTTACGGAAAATTTTCCGGGAAATTTTCATTTTATTTGTTGTTATCACAAATTTAATTAAGAAATGATGAACATTGAAGGACCTCTATAAAAATCATGCATTTTCTCAACCAAAAGGAATTAAACATCCGCTTACAGGCAATGACAGTTACACAACAAATTTATTAAAATTGAATAAGCGGGCCATAAATCATTACTTATAAATTTTCATGCCATTTATTAAAAATGGCTGCAACAAATGACATTCGTATAGTAGCTGCTATTGGTATTTAACAACATTTTAATGCTCGTTTTTTCAATAAAATTTCAAAAAAGCTCACATATAAATTTTATTAAAAAAAAACAATTAATTTCGTATTAGATTTTGGGTGTACTTATTCGGTATGTTAATTTAAAAATAAATACTCACTAAATAAAAAGAATTCTAACTACTTGTGCCCATAAATAGGGTTTTGCATGCGCACACAAAGACAGTCCCGAGGAAATATATGTTCAAGATTATGATGGAGGAAATCTTGAAACGCCTACTGTACTTAAATATGATAAGGATTTTAACGTAATATCATGGGGAATTCCAGCATTGGCAGAACGAACAATTCGAAGAAAAAGTAATGCAGCGGATGACTCAAAATCAGTGGAATTATTTAAATTACATTTAGGAAATATTGAAGAAAAACCATACTTACCAGAAGGGTTAGATTATAAGAAAGCTATCACGGATTATTTACACGAGATTGGTAAAATGATGAAAAATTACTTGTCCGATAAATATAAATATTTAGACTTTCATGATCAAGTTATTATTATTTTGACGGTAGGTATATTTATTTTTAAATTACAATCTAAAATTTAAATTAAACCTTTATGGTTGTAGATACCCGCTGAATTTGATAATAATGCAATAGCAATTCTGCGGCAATGCGCTTTCGAAGCTAAATTAACGGATGCAAGAAATAGTAGAAATTTAAAATTTATTACGGAACGTAAGAAACTTTCAAAATATATATATTCGTGTTTCGTTATAATCTATCTTGGTCTAAATTTTTTTGTTACCAATTTGTTAATACGAAGCCGAAGCTGCTGCAATTCATTGTATGAATTCTTTAAGTGGAAATGGAATAAAACCAGGAGGTAATGTATTCTTTGACTTGATCATCATCTCCGATGTTCAAACAAGTTCTAATCAGTTATTTCACAAATGTAGATTCATTCATGATCGTTGATTGTGGTGGTGGAACAGTAGATTTAACAACACGACAACTTTTAGTTGATTATACACTCGGTGAAATAACAGAGCGTATGGGAGACTTTTGTGGTTCTAGTTATGTTGATAAAGAATTTATTAAGTTTCTTGAAAGAAAAGTTGGAAAGTCCACAATTGAAAATTTAAAGAACAATCATTATCGTCAAATGCAATATTTAATCCAAGAGTTCTGTAGAAGAATTAAATTACCTTTTACAGGAGATGATGATGCAGAAATATCTGAAGTAGATATTGAAGGTAAAATATACATATACTTAAAAATGAACGTACAAAGCTATTAAAATCCACTTTTAATTTTGTTGTTTAGAACTTTGTCCAACGTTAAAGCAATATTGCAAAGGTAGTGAACTTGAAATAATGGAAGAATTAGAATGGGTTATTGAACTCACATCTGAAGAGGTTAAAAATATGTTTGATCCTATCATTGCAAGAATTATTCGATTAATCCGAGGCCAACTAAATTTAAACAGTGATTGTTCTGCAATTATATTGGTCGGTGGCTTCAGTGAATCAAAATATTTACAGAAGAGAATTAAACAAGAATTTAATCATCAAGTAAAAAGTATTTCAGTTCCAATTCATCCCATGTTAGCAGTAGTTAAAGGAGGTAATTATAAAAAATAGTTCTTTTAAATTCTATTATTAAATCTGTTCTAATTTTTTTTTCTATATTATCAGCTGTTCAATTTGGTATTAAAGAACATGTGATCACAAATCGTATTTTAAAATGGACGTATGGTAATATTCATTATTAATTAATCATTATTTTATTTTTTTAATTTATGTAATGTTATCTAATGTGTTTCTTTAGGAACTGATATTGTTCGTAAGTGGGAACCAGATGATCCATTATCTAAAAAATTACCGAATGGTATGGTAAAAGTTTTCCATACATTAGTCGAGAAAGGAACACTGCTTACGAGCCAAGATAAAGATAAATATACAACAACTTTCAAACCGTTTTCTCTATTTCAAAGGAAAGTTTCATTTAATATGTATATTACATCTAAATCCGACGTTAAATATTGCGATGAAGAAGATGTAAGATTACTTAATAGTTGGGAAATCGATATACCAATTTTAGATGATTTCGACGATCAGAAGATTTTATTCACGTTAAATTTTAACAATATAGAAATTTTAGCAACAGCCGAAAATCAAAAAACTAAGGATAAATACCAAGTATTATTTAAATATGAATAATGAAATACTATTACTTTATAGTGTATATTATTGTGTATGCTGTATGCATGTTCACGTATTTGTCGGAGCGAATATTTCACCCGTAATTTATTAGTCAAAATCTCTATATATTTAACTATGTTTTGTTAGTTTGGATTCCTTTTCGGTACAAGTACATTCTATTTTCTTTTGTATTTATTTTCTTTTGTATTTAATTTCTTAGGATTATGGAAATAAGTTTAATTTTTGTTTACTTTTTGTCATGCATCATTATTACCGTTAAAATTACCTCGAATTATTAAATATTTTACCTATTTTTTCTGAAAAAATCATGTATAATTTTACATTTTAATAAATTTTGTAACATTATTACTTAAGTGCCATTTTTATTAAATTTATAATTTCTTAAACATTTTAAAAATAAAAAAAAAACTTTAAATAGTATTCTTCGCGAGGGACTGCAAAGGATTAAAATTAAATTTCCATTTATGACAGTGATAATTTTCTTTTGCAAATATCCAGTCATTTTAGCAAAGAATAAGAAGGGAATATTTACAAAAGTATTTTTTTTTTTCATAGATACACACGATCTCGGGTAACTAGTATGTATTATTATATCAGATATGTATTGATTTTATGTGGTTATGAAATTTATACAAACATAGACCATGTTCTTTAATTAGATCTCGTAGAATTTCTGAAACGTCAACTTTAAGAACATGTTCGGTACAAAAATATTAAAAATTTATATAAAAAAGCTCTATGTTACTTACATAAATAATAAATTAGTAAATCAAACTCAGTATAACTAGAATATTTTTTAGGCATTGAATCTTATGATCCATAACAAACAAAAGTAGAGAACATGCATTGATACTCCCGGTAGATTATATTTATGCATATTTATCGTCACCTTGTATAATCAGTGATTTATAACGTCCGACGAAGAAATTTCTCAAATCAACCCGTAGAGAAATGGGATCAATTTTAACATTCAAAATAAAATTCTGCATATAATTATGAAAACCTTAGGCCTTAGCCTTTCACTTTTTTGCCATCTAGAGGACAGATTCTATTACCATTACTAGAGTGGCAATATTTTGGACTCAATATATTGTCTTTGAAAGCGGTTAGATTTTATGCGCAGGAATTTGATTTTAACTTTATTTTTAGTTAATTTTATCATGTGCGATTTCGTCAAAGAGAATCAGCACGTCAAAAAGGAATCCGATAATAGTAATTTTGTGGCCAATCTGATCACTGGATAGCGAAAAAATGGAGAAATAATTAAAAAAAATTAGATTATAAAAGTGAAAATTAGCAATACTAATTAGTTGTAGGTTATTTTGGATCATACTTTGATGCAGGTGGCTATACCAAGTATAAGTTAAATATATATTTTCATCCTTCTTTCAAGATATAAAGAAGATTTCATATTTTTTTTTCATAATGTCATAACGTTAATAATACTGACCGCTCGGTAATCATATTTAATGGTCATATCGATACTAAGAATATCTAATGAAGGAAGTGGCAACATTTTTGTGTGGAACGAGGTTTTATTAATTATGGAGGTGGTGAACTTCTGTGGTACAAGCGTTTAAAAGAGAAAGTATGTGAGGATGCAAATTCTAGAGAAATTAAAAACAAATATAAAGTCAATATGGCGGAAGAAAAACTAGTAGAATGTTTGAAATTAGATGATGTGGCTTCTAGGAAAAAAGATAAAATAATCACGTGGAACGAAAAAGAAGGCATAGTATTTTGTAAATATAAACGTAAATCTAAAAGTAAAGGATGGAATGGTTTAGGGATACATTATACGATAGATGAATCAAAAACGAATAATGATTTTGATTCTCCTTGGTTAAAGAAGTGCGCAGGATGTTATAAAAATATTTCTAGAAATAGAGAGGACGATGTTTGTTTAATACCTTGTAATATTGGAGATGAATTAAGTAGAGAAATAAAAACAAGATAACACAAAATGAATTGTCAAGTAATAAAGGAAGTGTGAAACCATTTGAAAGTCTGTCTGATATCATCGATAAAAATAATATTTTAATTACTAAGAAATATAAAGAATTAAATGAAGATACAAAAATGGAAGATGTAAGGGAAGCTGAATTTTTGCTTTGGTTAAATTATATATGTGTAAATAAAGAAAATTTCGTTTGGGAAAATTTCGATGAGTTAGTTAATAAATGGAGCGATATCGATAAAGTAACGATTACGGCAATGTCAATATTTAAATATAATAACAATATAGAAGGAAACAGATATAAGAAAATTTTTAATACAAATTTAAAATTTAGTATTAACGAAGATATGAATGAAATGAAAAGAATTTTAATCACATTAATTATCACTATAGGATTATTGCCAGATGATAAGTACGTCAACATCGAAATTAATAAAAAATTTATTATAGAATTAGAAATATTTAAGAATGAGACAAGTAATAGGAGAAAGATAGATTACAAAAACTATACTTTATTAAAGTTTTTACATCAGATAATATCGGAAAAAAAATTACAAGTTAATTGGAGCCATAATGATTTCGAAGATATATCAGATTTTAATGTGAAAATCGAAGGAATGAAAAAGGAACTTATGAAAAATGCATCTTCGATGTTAGACATTGGAATTATCTGGAGTAATATATTAGTTGATGAGTATAATCTGCGTTGGAATAATTTTATAATTGAAGGTTGCTATAGAAAATGGGCCAAAGATCTTAGTTATCTTAACAATAAGGCAGAAATGATGCTATTAAAGCAATTAGAACAATTATTTGTTATTAATATAAGTTTCGATATTAATTGGCAAATTTCGTTTATGCTAATTCGTAACGAAATTAAAGTACTAAATTCATCAACTAGTGCGATGGATACTCAAACTAGAGTTTTTAGAATTAAAAATTTCATTCAATCGTTACCAACTTACGATGTTTTGTATCAAAGGAGAGTTTAAGGGGTTTCATCAAATAAATGTGTAAATGAAGTGGAAACATGGGACTATTTATGGAAGTGTACGGAAAATAAATGTGTTTTATTTGATTTATGGAAAGAAGCAGTTAACGTTTTTACAGAAAATGGGGATGGACGGAGGCAATTTTATGATTTGGTCACGCTAAAATTAAGATTGTTTCCGTTAGAAAATTTATTATATGAGATTACGCATGGGATAATTAATTTTAAAATTTGAAAGTATAAACATTGTAAGGTTGAGGATACAAGGTTGTTGATGATTCAGTGATCTATATATGATAATTGTATACGAGGATAATTTTCAAAATAAAAAAAAATTCAGAAAATAGTAAAATTATTAAAAAAATTTAGATTAGAAAAATTAAAAAATGGTTTAATGATAATTTAAGGTAGTAGGAAAAAGTACTACACGTTACTGTATGGAGTAACGGTTTTAGCATGGAGGGAAGTAATTTCGTTACCAAACTTTAGATATATTTTATATATTTGTATGTTCTTTATCATATAATTAATAAGTATCCTCATTTTACCAAAAAAAAAAAATGGTCATATCGATACTATCGAGTATCGTATAACTACTATAAATCTTTTGGAATTAGATCAAAATTATTATGTTATCCATTATCTGTTATAGTAAAAGTTAAATAAATTTATTTACTGGATAAACTTCCGGTATTACGACAAATGGAAGCGTTTCGGCATACACCCTAGTGAGATTTTTCTTAACAATATTAACTCTGCAGCATATAATTTTACTTTTATTCTTTTATATGTTTTATAAGTATTAGTTACTTTAATACTGGATGCCTAGCGCAAGCTATAATTACTCGTCTAATGGATAGTTCGTTAGTTTGACTGTATCGTTATTTGAATTCGAGCTTGTTTTATTATCTTGAATTTTCGTGCTATCTTAAACTCAATTTCACAAAATTTTTGTAACATATCGATATACTGTAAGTCTGTAACAAGAGAAAAAAGTAAATTCTTATTATAATTTATTATTATAATATATATATATATTGAAATTGCGTGCATTGTGCATCATGGGATTAGATTTATAAGATTGTGAATACAAATACGATAACATGTCATATGGTTGGTTCCCTTAAAATTATGAGAAAAAACTCGATAATCTTTTTAAAAGATCGCGAGAGTTAAATCCATTTATTTTTATTTATTATTTATTTTATATTATTTTAATATTTATAAAGTAAATAATACGTAAGTACTCTCTTACTATATATACTAACGTATAATAATGGATTAGAATAAAAGAATAGATTTGCATTTGACATTGGGTGAAAATGAGAAACATAATGGTCTAAGAATGAAAATTATTTGAAATAACTATGGAAATTGAATTTTCCGGATACAGACTTTGTAGTAGAAAAATGACATCGTTTATTAGCATATTATTGCATGTCTAAACTTAGAAGGATTCGACTCATTCAAAGAAAAAATTTAATATCTCATACCTGTCGATTTTCCGCAGCAAACAAACTCTGGTTACAAACCTCAAAACAAAACAAAGAAAAATAAAGAAAAAGGAAAATTAAACAAAGAGAGATAAATAAAGAAAAAATCTTTAAAAAAAACAATATTAGTAATAATCAATCGGCAAAAATCATTTAACATTCTCTAAAATAGTAAGACCAGGGTTATTCCTTACCCCACATGTTTTTGGCAAAAAAAAAAAATAATAATAATTATATAAACACTATTTGCTCTGGTGGTTGGTAAGTGGCCATGGGGTTTACTATGAAATGCTAACATTAACCTTCTTTTTTCGTTCCTACTGCCTTTACTGCCTTATTAAAATGCTAATGTTATTTCTGGGCCCTGTTACAGCAGTTTCTTGAAACAAAAAATTTTTGTTTGTATTGAGATTGACTGTGTGTAGCATGTAATAATACATGTAATACAAATTGTTGTTACATACGATATTTCTACCCAATGACTGGTAAAAATCATAAAACTAGGAACGGGAACAGTTGTTGAGTCAGGAGCGAAGACTAATAATTCCGACCTATCCCATCAACTCAAGCGGGCGGACATTGTGTAAACGAGCGTAGTCCTTCGTTATCGTTATGATTCGGACTAAAATCAAATCAGATTCCTGCCTAAATTTTACAGAGTTATGGTTATCTATAAAATACTTAAAAGTCTAATTTATTAAATTCCAAGATTCTCTTACAATTTTATTTCAATGATGTAGCAATATAATTTAATCAATGGAAATTTTAGATAAATACAAATGACGTGGGAAATGTAATCAAAAATATGTGCCTTTTATCACATCACACAAACTTCAAAGAAAACGTAAATAATTAACAATAAAAATATATTTAATTTTAAAAAATCTATTTGAGTAAAAGATGATGTCCACATATAATTAGATTAATATTTGGAACAACCAACTTTGGATTCAAATAATTTGAAGCAGGTTTGTGATAAACAACAAATCTATTAATCTAAGAATATTTCTTGATCAAATCGAATTTAACCATCAAAGTTAAATTTAAAAGTAGTTTTATAACTTTGACCAGACTGTTTGTTCTTTGCAGTAGCAATAATTTCCATTTTCCCAAAAGTTATTCCTAATAATACACTTCTGCCAATTCCTGAACCAGGCAAATCGACAATAAAATTTCCTAGAAGTTTCATACCAGGATCATCACAATATGTCCCATCATACTCTTCTGTATAATATAATCCAAAAAGCATATCTTTTTGCTCCGAAAAAATTGGTGTACGAGTGCTAGTTATTTCTTGATTAATATCCATTTTAGTACCACGTGTAGCTAAACAATCAAATTTTTCTATACGGTCACCGTAGACTTTTCTATGTATCGGATCTCCTTCTTTCTAAATAAAGTTAATATTTGACTTTTTTAATAATAAAGTTTTACGAAGTAAAACTTAATTATATTAAAAAAAAAACATACCCATTTAGGTATAACTTTAATTCCGTAAGTATATTTAAGAACTCTTGAAGAAATAACACATTTCATATTGTCATCATTTCCTACATTATTCAAATCATTTAATTTTATAGATAATCCGTAAATTGCTGCTCCACGTGAAATTGCTGCCGTAGGTTGAGTAGGTACTGAAATAAAATTAACTTGACTACTGAACTTTTGTTTGATTTTCTTTTGTAAATATTTTGATTCACTAAATCCTCCAACTAAGAACATTGCAGAACAAGTTTCATGTGCATTATCCAGTTGAGTTTTTATTAATTGAAGAATTTTTTGGATAACAGGTTTAAATATTGATTCCATAATTTCAAAATCAATTTCAATTATCCATTCATCATTATCCAAAGTTTTCCTGATATCATCATCAATAACATATTGTTGTTCTAAGATTGGAACCGTTTCTCGAATGTCTAATTCATATAGAAAGTCTGGATCATCCCCTGTAAAAGGAATTTTACCATCATTACAAAATTGTTGTATCAAATATTGCATTTGTCCATAGTTATTGTCTCTAAGCAAATCCATAGGTTCATCTCCAAGTATTTTTCGTAAATATTTAATAAACTCGACATCAACAAAAGTACTTCCACAAAAATCGCCAGATCTTTCAGTTATTTCACCTAATTGATTATGACTTACTAATTTACGAGTTGTTAAATCTACTGTACCGCCACCACAATCAACTATCATGAAATTAGCTGTTGTATAAATTATTTATAAACAAATTAGTCGATATTTATTAGTAAAATAAAGCAAATTAATAAACATACTTCCTGGTTGTGCGAGATTCTGTCCTTCAAGATTTTTCATGCAATATATCGCAGCAGCCTCAGCTAGTTATAAATTTTTAAGTTAAAAATTTAAAAGGTATATACATAATTTATATACAAACTGTAAAGATTCTTACGTTCTGTAGTAAATTGTAAATTTGTTGAATATTTTTCTTTAATCAATCCTGCATCAAATGCACATATTCTCATAATTGCTTTCGCCTTATCAGAAAATTCTGCAGGAACAGTAATAATCAAAAGAACGTTTTCAAAGTAATCAATGTTTGGCCAACGTGTGTCGATAATTTCTTTAATTACCTTGAATATTTTTCAATATACAACATAATAGCAGAATTATCAGTTAGAATTTTTAAAAAGGGTTTGAACATACAAAGTTTAAAAGATTGCTAAAATTATGCAAAAAATTATACCTTTCCGATTTCTCTAAGATAATCGGTAATAGCTTTTTTGTATTCAACTGGTAGTTTTGGTTTAAGTTCTTCTAATAAATCGCCCAAATGTAATTTAAACAATTCAACGGGTTTATCATTTTCACTATTTTTTTGTCTTCTTGTTCTACTACGACCTTGCTTTTTAACTAGAGCTGGTGCACCCCAAAGTTTTACATTATCATATTCATCGTCATATTGAAGAACCGTATTTGTTTTTAATTGACCTACGTTGCCGTTCCAAATATCATTTGAACATATATTGACTTCATCGCTAACATGGCAATATGCAAATCCAGAGTAGGTTGTTCCAAAGTCTAATCCAACTACAACGCGGATATTATTTTCTTCGAATCCTAATAATTTACTGCCTTGTTTAAGAAATTTATCATCTTAAAATGTAAAAAAATAATTTCTATCGTCAAAATTAATAATGATATAATAAAATGTTCCACTCAATATACATACATATGTTAATAGGAAAAAAACTATCCATGTTTCAATAAAATTTAGCATGAATATTGGGTTGGTTATTTATATAAACACATTTAAATGGATTACATGAATAAGGAAATTAAACAAAGACTATACATATGTTGTAGCGCACATTGTGCGACAAATGGGAGTGAATGCTGGAAAAAGGGACCAAATTAAAAAAAAAGTTTCCAAGTAAAATAAATGTAAATCTGATCATCCGATCCAGAATATTTATTATTTAAAAAAAATTTTTGTCAATTTGTGCCACATACAGTTTTTTACAAAAATCTTCTTTTTCAAAAAAAAAAACCTTAATAAACTTATGTTCAAAACCTTAAAATTATATATAGAGGTGTAATTTTGCCTGCTCTGCAAATTTACTTAGAACGACAAACGGGGTTTTGGCTGAAAAATTTGACTTAAACTCGATTTTTTAAAAAATGCGCCACATACTTTAAACAATATTTTCGGCGTAGCTTGCCACACATTTAGGACGTGCGAAAAAATAACGACGAGTCAATAATGTCCACCTTTACCTTTGTTTCACAACACAGAAATTCTAGTTGATTATAAAAAGGCTATTAATGATTACCTTAGAGAATCGGCAAGGTGCAATCTTTGTATGATTTATTTCTTGACTTTAATGATTTTAAACTTGAGTTTTTCACCGGATTATCCTATGAATACTAATACAGTATAGGATAACCCGTTTGGAAATTTCAATTCTGGATAACCTATTACAGCTGATTTCATAATATACGGGGACACCTAGTCACATACCGAGACAACTCGGTACATTTGATAAAACTCGGTAAAGTTCAAGGTAAAAACTATATTGTTAGAATCAGAACACTAGTCCAAGCACTAGTGTTTCGGGCGAAACCGAAACTTAGACTCCCGGCGAAACTTCTGGAGCCTGGAGAAACTAGTTTCGCCACTAAGAGCAAAATCTGAAACTGGCGAAACTTCCGAAACTTTCCGAAACTGGACGAACTTGCAAAACATTTTTTTTATCAGTTATTACATTTTATGATAAAAATTATTAATAAATCGCAACTTTTACAATTTACATCGTATCAACTATTTCATCAACTTCATGGAATATCATTATCTTCATTTTCATTCATAGGTTCATCCACTTTCATCATTTTCACTCTCTATAATAATCTATACTTAATTCAAATCTTGTGCTGAGCCTTTCTCCAAAAGTAATTACAGCATGCGCAAGTTGCTTCGTAATGGCCTTCTGATACTTTTGTACCTTTGAATAGTATGACCTTATTCTAAGGACTTGGCTTGACCGCGCCAGCACTTTTTCTTTTTTTTCGGTGTAGTTATAAGAGTTGCATCTGGGGAAGGGTTAGAAAAGGTAAAATCTTGTGTAAACATAATTAAAAAAAGTAAAAGTTGATTTTTATTGTTTTAAATGAAAGAGAAAAATAGGATAAAGGTTTATTTGCAATTAAACGCGTTGTATATACAGTCAGACCTCCATAATTGCACACCCCTTGGGACCATATGCATAATTTTCAAAATAGTGCATTTAAAGAGGGTGTGCATTTATAGAGGTAAAATAATTAGAGATCATATAAGCTTGGGACCAAACCAGAGGGTGCATTTAGAGAGGGTATACATAGTGGGTGCAATTATGGAGAGTGCAATTATAGAGGTCTGACTGTAATACGAAAGATCTTTTGTGAGAAGAATGTATAAATTTAGCCACCAATTAAAAATCATGCACGTAACAATTTAGTTTCGCCAAGTTTAGTTTATGCATTTTCGAAATGGCCGAAACCTAAACTAAAAATTGGCGAAATGTTTTGCCAATTGCAAAACAGGTTTCGCCCGAAACATTACCGAGGTGTAATTTTTATTTTATTCTGAGTTATACCGAATCTTACCGAGTTTCTCACGGCACGGAGTAAAGGGTCATCCGTAGTGCCTCGACCCGTATCCGGATCAATCCGGATTGATCCGGATTTTTTTTTTTTTTCGGATATCCGGATTTTCACGGTTTTCATCCGGATTATAAACCGGATGAAAAATATCCGGTTTGACCCGGAATCCGGATGAAATTTTTATTATTTTTTTTTTTATTAATAATAATAATTTTGCTGATCCATAAAGATCTATATCTAAATGATATTATGGCTAATTATTTTTGCGCCTAATACCAATTTTTTTATTAAAATTTATTAAATTTATATTTGTTATATTAAACTTTTTAATACAGTAAGTTTAAGAAGATTTTTCAATTATAATTTATTTATTGAAGTTTGTAAGA